TTCGTGAATCTTTGCCCAAAGTATTGGATGAAAATTGAGACAAGAACTTTTGCAATTTCATCAAATTGAATCATATAATCTAGAGATGTTACATTAGGGATTTTGACACAAGTTTACCATATCCCGAGAATATGACATAGAGCATTGAATTGGAGAAGGATCGAGTTGCATTGTAATCACAAACTGACTAAGTTCTCTAAATGAATTCTTTTTAGCTCGGGTAGTCATGACATACTGTTAGGTATCACTCATGGCTTGTGGAAGCCCTGTAAGGGCTAATTATAATTAGCCTTCGCCAATAGGGAGAATTGTATGAAGGGATACAATTCACACTTGATTTAGAGTGAATCATTCATACCCACTGCCTCACTAATTAAAACATATAAGATCACACACCGAAAAGGAATCGATTGGGAAATTAAGAAGAGAATGAATGATTTTGTGACTTGGTCAAACTCAAAAGTCAAAGGTCAAATGGTTGACCCGACACTTGACACGATCAATTAAGGATGACCAGGACCAACACTCGTTAGACAAGTGAGTGATTAAATTGGTTAAATCACTGGAGTAATTAAATTGATTAGATTAATTTAATTATTCAATTAAAGTTATGAAACTTTAATTAAAGGTCCCATATGACTTGGAAATTCAAAAGGGATTTGACCATATAGACTTAGGCACATATGTGACACATTATAGGATTAATGTGTTGGACCAAGATGCAAAAAAATGACACACAAGGGGGTATGGCTACACTAGGGCATTGGGGGTATTTTTGTCACTCTTGTGACATTTTTGATCCTATAAGTTTGTAGCTGTGGTATCCTATCATCCTAAGGTTTTCAAGTTGGTGAAATTGGAAGAGAAAAAACATCAAGCTCTCTTTCCCTAACCCCTTAAACCTATCACATCAAGTGAGGGTGCTAGCACCACTCTTCACTTGTTGTCTACTCATTCTCTCATCCCATTCATTCCTTGGTGAAGAGCTTTGGGAAGGTGCATATCTTTGTACCTATTTGGAGAGCTACAAGGTGGAGAGCCAACAACAAAGGGACCACTCCCTCTACTTGAACACCATTCTTGGTTTCAAGGTTCGGTCCAAGGGTATGAACATCTTATCTTTCTCTCAAATAGGATTTAGAGAGTCTTTGGTGCACACTTTCATAAGACTTATAACAATTGGGACTAAATGAGACTTACATGAATCCCTAGTTTATTTAATGCTTCCACTCTTGTTTTGATTTCATATTAGATATGGGTCGTTAGGTGATTTATACTCTCAAAATTTGGTTGTAGAGTTTTTCTAGAAATCTCTACACAACACCATTCCCACAATATTCCCTTCAGCTCAGTGGGTAAGTTTGATGGGAAGGGAAACTTCCAGTATTGGCATTCTCAAATGGAGCTTTTCTTCAAATTTATGGAGTACATAGATGTTGTGATAAATGTGTTCAATGATCCAGGAGATCAAGGCACCCTCACACAGAACCAGAGAGAAGAGATGGTGAAAAATCGGAGGAAAGATAGCAGAGCCTTGATGTATATCTTTGGTGCAATTGATCTAGTAGTCTATGAAAAGACTGCACATGTGTCTACATCTAAAGAGGAATGGGATGTGCTCAGGGGGCAGACACACAGAGGGACACATGGGGTCAGGCCACCCCATGGAAGCCAAAAAAAAGGATGTGGAGGTTTGAGGCAACCCCTAGCCTTGCTGGTGTGCGACTCTAGGGCGCACACCTCTTGTTAAATGAAATGCACGAGAAGCCTTGCGCAATGCATGCACGAGGCTTCTATTTTTTTTAAATGCCTAGCCAAAACGACATTGTTTTGGTCCACATGCTTTAATTTATTTTTTTTAAACCTAGCTTCAAAATGACGTCATTTTGAACCCGATTTTTTTATAAAATAAAAATATAAAAATATAAAAATATAAAAAGAACCCAGCAGCATCCTAAGCTTACCCAACTCCTTCAGCAGCAGCCTCTAAAGCCAAAACCCATTTTTCTCTCTTCTCTCAATCCCTAACTAATCCCCAACCTCCACCACCACCTCCAATTCACGTCGTCGCCACCCACCTAATGTCGCCGCAGCACCTCCGCATCGTTGCCTCTCATAAAATCAAGTGACTGATAATCCTTTACTTTACATATATTATTTTGGGTTTAGGATTTATAATTTTAATGAAATTGATAATTTTTATGAGTTTGAATTTATTGATATGATATTAATGTTGATTTATTTTTTATTTCTTATTTGGATTAGAATTTATATTGATTGTTACATCATATAACTTATATGTGATGTTAATTAGATTTTATTGATATGATTTTCAAATTGGTTGATTTTATTATTTAGATAATTGGATTAGATTAGAGTTTGTATTGATTGTTATTATTATTTGGATTAGAGTAGACTTTATCATTGATTGATTGAATTAATGACTGTGTAGAATTATGGAACGATACTTTAGAGAAAATTACTTGTGGATAGTTCGTCTAATCTGGGTAGTTCAAGTGCAAGCGCAAGACCAAGACCTATTGAATTAGATGAGACATTGGCTAACCTTCAGGGAGATCTTGGGCTAAGAACTCAAATGACGGATTATATCTTCAAAAAGCATATCTTCAAAAAAGACCTTGTCAACCTAGAGGTCATAAATTTTCACAAACTAATCAATCATGAATTAATAGATGATTCATTGCCCAATGGTTTGATGAGTTTGATTGGTTGGAGTATAGTATAGCTAAAAATGCTGAATTTTGGCTTCATTGCTATCTCGTTAAAACTAGTTTTGATCAAGTGAGTGGTGACATCTTCACCGAGGTAGGCTTCAATAATGAAGCAAACAGATGAAGCTTGTACGGCTTATCGCAATTGCTTGAATGCATCACTCAAGTGTACAAGGTATTTATTGCAGCATGACCTTCCTTTTTGTGGTCATGATGAAAATATCACTTCAAGTAATAAGGGGATTATGATGAAAAATTTAAGGCCGTTGTGTTGGAAAACGCTCCAGCCAATCCCAAGTTAATAGCTTCTTCAATTCAAAAAGATATTGTCAATGCATGTGTCAAAGAAACCATTAGCCTTATCATGAGTGATCTAAAAGATAGATATTTTTCAATAATGGTGGATGAAGCACGTGATGTTTTAGTAAAAGATAAAATGGTCATGGTTGTTCATTATGTGAACAACGAAAGACAAATAATAGAAATGTTTGTAGGGATCCAACATGTTACGGACACCACCTCAAGTGCACTAAAGAAATCCATTGATGAATTTTTTTTCTTTCGAGGATTGAGCATTTCCAAGCTACGAGGACTAGATTATGATGGAGCTAGTAATATGGAAGGTGAGTTCAATGGCCTTAAAACAAATATTTTGAGAGAACAACCTTGTGCATTTTATGTTCATTGCTTTGCTCACCAACTTCAACTAGCTCTTGTTGATGTGACAAAGAAAAATATTGATGTTGCTTCTTTTTTCACAACGGCTAATACCTTGGTTAATGTTGTTAGAGCATCTTGTAAGCACCATGATGCACTTAGAACACAATACCAAGAAGATCTTGTTCATGCTTTTAATGAAGGTTGTCTTATAACGAGGTGAGGCTTAAATCAAGAAACGACTCTCAAACGTGCGGTGATACATCATAGAACTCATATTATACTACCTTGATTAGTATCATTTCTATGTTTCCATCTGTGGTGAGTGTGCTTCAAATGATTGTTGATGATAACCCCAATGATTGTTCGGGTGAAGCCTTCAAGTTATGGAGAGAAATACAATCTTTTGAGTTTGTATTTCACTTATTTTTTATGAATGCTATATTAGGAATAACAAATACTTTGTCTCAAGCATTACAAAAGAAAGATCAAGACATTGTGAATGCAATAGGTTTAGTAAAAATATGCAAGGAAAACCTACAATTGATGAGGAATAATGAGTTTGATGAATTGGTTGATCAAACATCTTGGTTTTGTGACAAACATCATATTACAGTTCTTAACATGGATGAGGATTACGTAATTTCTGGGAGATCAAGATGTAATGCTCTAATAGAGACAAACAATCATCATTATTGTGTGGAGATCTTTCTTCATGTCATTGACGGGCAACTTGCGGAATTAAATTATCGTTTTAATACTCGGTTGCTTACTTGTTTGGCATGCTTGAGTCTGAAGAATTCATTTGTGGCCTTTGACAAACGAAAGCTAGTTCATCTTGTTTAATTTAATCCTCAAGAATTTTTCGATGGAGATTTATTGATGCTTGAAGATCAACTTGGGGTTTATGTTCATCATATGTGTTCAAGTAGTAATTTTTCACAATTGCAAGGGATTGGCATGCTTGCGGAAAAAATGGTGGAGAAAGGGATGCATGAAATATTTCCTTACGTGTATTTGCTTATCACATTGGCTTTGGTTTTACCAGTTGCAATTGCTTTAGCGGATAGGGCATTTTCCGCAATGAATATTATCAAAAATCCAATTCCCAACAGAATGGGAGATCAATGGTTGAATGAAAGCTTGGTTGTTTACATTGAGAGAGATGTTTTTGCTTGTATTGATAACGAAGCTATAATGCAACGTTTTAAAAAGATGAAAACTCGTCGTGGACAATTGTAGCTTGCATTGTTAGTTTTGCAATGAATTATGAATGAAAGTATTATATTTCTATTTTTTAGTGTTATTTTCTTCTTAATTTTTATTTTTATTTTTTGGATACTTTTACACTATGATCCCATAAGGTCACAATCCTGCATCCGCCACTGGATATGCTAATCCATAGCGCTGTTGGAAGAGACAAGGATAAGGTATAGTTGCAGACCTTGAGGAGACAGTTTGAACTTCTGCAGATGGAGAAAAAAGAAAGTATTTCTAATTATTTCTAATGTACATTGTCCTTGTTAGAAATATGCCCTTAAAGCCAACTAATTATGTAATAGTTAGAGTTAAGGACATCTTTGATAAAAGACATATTATGTTATCAATGGGCAAGAAAGGTTGTTTTATACATTAAATCATCCTATATTACCTTTCAATATGCTAAACAACCATAGTCCATGGAATACACAAGTTGATATGAGAGCTATGTAATGAGATTGCATACATGGAGACTTCTCATCATCCCTAAATCCTAAATATGTTCCTGGTCATAGGAATATTGATTGTGCGTCAATATTCCGCGAAGACCAGTACACACAGTATCGTCTCTATATGTAGGGAATGGCAAGGTCTCAAGTCATTAAGTGTGGAGACACATCGATATGTGTGTAGGTGCTTGTAGAAGAACGAGTACAATGAATGCGATCCAACACATGAGTTACAGCATGGAACTCTTTACTCACATGTCAAGCTAGAACTCTGACCAAAGTCAAATAGTTCGACCGGGTCAATTAAGTAAGACTATAATTATAATTTAATAGTTAAATTATAATTACAAGATTAATTATGGAATTAATATTGACATATAGAAATATTGGATTGGGCTTTAAATATAATTTTAAAAAAAAGGGACAAAATAGACCAAAGGGATAAGTGGCATAAGATGACATGACCCATGGACCAAATGGAGCCCCAAATACCCACCCAATTGACTTTTGTGTTGTCTTATATAAGCCAAGTGTTGGAGAAAACCTAGCTAGGGTTTTTGGTTTCCTACTTTGGTTGATGAGTGATCATCTTTGTATCTCATCTTCCATAAACCAAAAATTGGTCCAATCAAGAAGGAGACTAGCATCCATACTTCTTAATTGCCTTCTCTTTATCTCTAGGAGCATTTGGTGTGGTGAGGTAGAGGAATCCGATCTTGGAGCCTTAAGGTGAAGGAGTCAAAATCAAGAGAAACAAAAGGCCTTTCCAACAAAGGTGTTCATTCTTGAGAAATCAAGAAATGGTCATCAATGGTAAAATATCTATTCCCTTTTCTATTCTTTTTTCTTTTTTCTATTTGTGTTCAAAGAGACTAGGCTAAGATACTTGGTTTAAAATGAAAAAGGTTTAGCTCAACTAGTATAAACAATGAATCCGCTATTTAGAATGTTTTTGTTGTATAGGTTGTGGCTAAAGTTCATTTCCTTCAGTCCTTGGCTAATCAGATGAAAGCCAATGGTGAGGATATGAAAGAGCTGAAAATTATGGAGAAAATTCTTCAAACCTTGATAGACAGGTTTGAAGGCAAAGTTACAGCTATTGACGAGACACATGATCTCAGCACCATAACTATAGATGAACTACAAAGATCGCTGCAGGCTTATTGTCATGCCCCAACCCACGGATTGACATAACCTTGGGTTAAGACGTGATTCACACCTTAATTATAGAATTTAATAAAAACTATAACTAAAATGAGAAGAAACATTTAAATAAATAAAATATTTCACATAGAATATTTAGCAGAAACAACAATATCTGAAATCTTAAAAATGTTATATAATTTTACAAGTTAGAACTACTTGAGAGTTTACTAAAAGAGTAGCTCATTATTCATGTACAAGCTATGTATACAATACACTCTATAGATATGCCAAAATCATCACAAGCTTTAGATTTCAGGTTTGGTACTTGCAAAATCTGTTAGGGGGTGAGCAAAACCATAGCTCAGTAAGGACATAAACCTTTTTACAAGAAATTGATATAATTAAATTAAGTGACATACAATCACACAGCCAAATATCACATTATTAATAATAATGCATGAATGCTCTTCATCTAATCCCATTAAATCACATAATTGGACAAGCAGACATGCATGTCCCATACCATGTTTTTACCACTTGGTCCCGAATGCCCATTTATATGAATGTCATCTCAATCATCCCATAATTCCTTTTTTTGTTAGTCGTCTTGTCTAACTCCCTGTCGCCAATTCCGAATTCACCCAATAAAAACCATGTGCATTGTGGGATCCCTGAGACCTAGTACCTGCCAAGAGTTAGACTCAACTACATAAAAGAATATTTCCATTACCCCCTTTTCCACCATTATTTTCTCAACCCAAGAATTCTAGCCAAATTCCATGACATGATATAATTATGCCATTCACAACAATGTAGCCATTTAAAATATAACCAATGCATATATAATTATGCCAACATTGTTCAAATAATTAAGAGTACGTAAACACCCAATGCAAGGAATATCAATCAAATTGTACCATGTATAAAATAATGCACACAAAATTTAATTAAATCAATCTCTAAAAAAAGGCCCCCAAGAAACCCCTACCTTGATTCCAATGTTTTTTACAACGTAAGATAACACTATAATCCAACACCTTGAGTACCTCCAAAGTCTTTCTTGTTCTACCAACACTTTCTAATATTTGTCCCTCTTCTTTCTTCTCTATATCACTTTCTTGTTAAGGAAATGGTTCCTATTTATAGTAGCAAAAGGCGGTAACTGATGACTTTTGATTGGTGGAATGTAAGTTTGGTGATATGCTTGACTCCAAGATTATCTAACTTTCCCCTAATGCCAACAGCTCATGCTTTGAACAGAGGCTTAGCCATCTAGGTAGACACTTGTGAAGAAACTAGGGTGGTGCATGTGGGTAAGTTTTGATGTAAATATCACCTTAAGTGATAAAGTTTTGTACGTGGCATCCCTTACAAATCCAATTATGGATCAAACAAACAAGTATTTTTATAATAGTATTATTCTTAATAATTATCATAAAAGTAACAACTATGCGGCCAGATAACTATATATATATATACAATTATAACCAATATAAATATATAAGAAATTAAACATAATTTAACTTATAAACCTATATAGATAGCAAAACATTTGATTTCCTAAAATATTATATAATTTTAAAATACAGGACTTCACAATATACCCTCCTTAAAAGAATTTTCGTCCTCGAAATTAGAACTTACTGGAATAAGAGAACAATTATGGGTACTTCTTACGCATTTGTCTCTAAGTCCCATGTAGCTTCTTTGGTATTTCCATGTAACCAAAGAACTTTGACTAATGATATTATTTTCGTACATAACACTTGTTCCTTATGATCCAAAATCTGTATTGGTCTTTCCTCAAATGATAGTGCTTCATCTAAGTTGAGTTTTCCCTAATCTAAAACATGGGTTGGATCAGGCTCATACTTTCAAAGCATAGAAACATGGAAAACATTATGTATATTCAAAAGTTGATGTGGTAATGCTAGCTTATAAGCTACCTCACCAATCCTTTCTAAGATTTCAAATGGTCCAGTAAACCTTGGTGCTAATTTTCCAGTTTTTCCAAATCTTTTTAGTCCTCTTTGCGGTGAGACTTTAAGAAACACATAATCCCCCACATTAAAACTTAATGATTTCCTTCTTCGGTCATCGTAGTTCTTTTGTTGACTTTGAGTAGTTAAGAGATGTTGCTTGATAAGTTTAACCTTTTTAGTTGTCTCTTGTACCAAATCAGGTCCTAGAAACACAGTTTCTCCTACTTCAGTCCAACATACAGGTGACCGACAAGGTCTTCCATATAAAGCTTCATAAGGTGCCATTTAAATACTAGATTGATAGCTGTTGTTGTAGGCGAATTCTGCCAACACCAAATGATCTTCCCAACTTCCCCCAAAATCTAGAATACATGCTCTCAACATGTCCTCTAAAATTTGAATGGTTCTCTTTGATTGTCCATCAGTTTGGGATGAAAAGCACTACTAAAATTTAGTTACGTAACCAATGTTTTTTGTAAACTTCCCTAAAATTTGGAAGTAAACTTGGAATCTCTATCTGAATCAATCGAAATAGGAATCCCATGTAATCTTACTATCTCTCGAACATAAAGTTTTCCAAGGTTTTCAGTGGAATCTGTTGTTTTAACCGATAAGAAATGTGCAGATTTGGTCAAACGATCCACTATGACCCATACTACATCTCGTCCCTTTGGAGATTTAGGTAAACCTGTAACAAAATCCATGGTCATATGATCCCATTTCCATTTTTCTATAGGCAATGGCTGTAATGGACCTGACGGTTCTAATGTTCAGCTTTCACCTGCTGACATGTAAGACACTTTGCTATAAATTTTTCTATATCTCCCTTCATGCCGCTCCGCCAAAAGTTACATCTCAGGTCATTATACATCTTTGTCCCTCCAGGATGAATTGTATAGGAAGAATGATGTCCTTCTTTCATAATTTCCTTTCTTAGACCAAAAATTTCTAGTACATACAATCTATTCAAATATCTTAATCCACTATCTGTGTGGACATTTCATCCATATGGTGTTTCTCCAGTTGTAATCTTAGTTTGAATGTCTTTAGACACAAAATTAGATTTTTGTGCCTCAATTATCTTTCCAATCAAAGTGGGGTGAGTTACTAAATTACATAAATATGCACAATCCTTGTGCATACCTACGTACAAGTCAAAATCATAGAGAGACTCTACCATCTTCCACCTTTGATCATATAAACTGGCTATGACTTCTTGGGGATTTCGACTTAAAGCATCTGCTACCACATTAAGCTTTTCCTGAATGATAATGTAAATAAAAGTCATAATCTTCTAGATATTCCAGCCAACGTCTTTGTCTTAAATTCAACTCCTTCTAAGTGAATAAGTACTTCAAACTCTTATGATCCGAGTAAAGTTCAAAATGTTCCCCATATAAATAATGTCTCCACACTTTCAATGCGTGAACAATGGCTGCTAGTTCTAGATCATGTCTCAGGTAATTCTTCTTATGTGATTTCAATTGACGAGAAGCATAAGCAACAACTCTGTCAGATTGCATCAAAACACATCCTAAACCATGCAATGATGTGTCAGTTTATACTATATAACTTATACCTCTTTCTGGTATAATTAACACAAGAGCTGATGTCAATTGAGTTTTTAACTCTTGAAATGCTTCCTCACATTTATCATCCCAAATAAACTTATTAACTCCCTTTTGTATTAACTTGGTCGTTGGATTAGCTATTCGAGAAAAATCCTTAATAAACTTCCTATAATAGCCAGCCAAACCAAGAAAACTTCGAATCTAATGAACATTTTTCGGTTGTTTCCAATTCAATACTGCTTCTACTTTTGCAGAATCCACGATGATGCGCCTTCTTTTGAAATAACATTCCCTAAAAATTTTACCTATGTCAACCAAAATTCACACTTAGCTTGGCAAATAACTTGTGTTCTCTCAATGTTTGTAGAACAATTAACAAGTGTTGTTCATGTTCTTTTTGAGATGATGAATAGATGAGAATATCATCAATGAACACAATCACAAATTGATCCAAATAAGGTCGAAAAAACTCAATTCTTTAAGTCCATGAAAACGCCGGAGCATTTGTCAATCCAACTTACTCAAAGGAGATGCCCCCCAACATACTCAATCGATTCTTTAAGTCCATGTAATCTTATGAACATCAATAGAAGTCCAGTTTCTCATTCCAGAATGCCCCCTGAAAAAAAGAAGAAGAAAGACTTGCCCATAAGGACCGTCCTAAGGGAGGTGCAGGGCGGCAACCAAAAGCGTCCTTCAGGAGACATATTTCATAAGAAGCGTACTTCAAAAGACACAAGGTGTGCCAAGAATTCCCTAAGGAGGTATCCAGGTTCCTATCCATTTTCTAAGGGAGGCAGGATAGTCATAAAGCGTCATTCGAGGCTTGCAGCCCGTAAAAAGCGTCCTTCGGGAGACGCAGGGTTTGCCAGGATTGTCCTAAGGGAGGTATCCAGGTCCCTATATGTTTCCTAGAGGGGCATGATAGTCATACAGTTGCCCATAAGCAACGTCCTTAGGCAGACGCAGCCCACAAGAAGCTTCCTTCTGGAAATGCAGGGTGCGCTTGGAATTTCCTAAGGTTGGTATCCAGGTCCTTATCCGTTTCCTAATGGAGGTAGGATGGTCACATGAAAACGTCCTTCGGGAGACGCAGAAGACCCCTAGAATCCCTCAAGGGGGACCCTAGCTCCTATCTGTTTCCTAAGGGAGGCATGACAACCAAAGTTTCTTGTAGAATGAGCAGAAGATGCCCAGAGTCCCTCAAGGGGGACCCAGGTTCCTGTCAATTTCCTAAGGGAGATGCACAACTAAGACATTGGCCGGTTACTCAAGTAGTTCATAAGACAAGATGCAAATTGAAGTTGAAAAAATAACTGAAATTTCCATAGCCAAATGGCCAACAAGCCAAGTTCAACAAAAAGAAGATGGTCAAACAACACCAATTATTCTAAACAAAAAAGCAGACTACAAAAGATGAAAAGAAATTAAGGAGTCTTCATATGCTCAGGGACATCGGCAGGAGACCCCTGATCTGCAACCTCTTCAGCATCCACCTGATCAGCCACGCTTTTAGCAGCTCCACTTGCCTATTCCACTACAACTGCCACAATCTCATCACCTTGCATCCTCCTCTGCTCCATCCTCTTTGACTACCACCTCTTTGGTCACCTGCTCTTCAACTCCTTCCACGTCTACAGCATTAACCTTCTCACTTTGCACAACAAGCAAGTTAGGGGAAAGCATCTCGATGTCTTCATCTCTAATGGCATATAAGGGAGCAATCCCATTTGTGCAATCCCAGTAGCCCAGCTTTTATGCATCTATGATGGCAGGAAATCTAGCTAGGAGCTTGTCATAACTGAGGGAGATGTCAGCATTTTTGTGCTCAAGACGGAAGTAAGCATCTTTTCTACTGACCAAGTCTGTAGCAAAAGAGTTAAGCTCAGAATCCTTCTCAGCAAGAGAACTCTTCAATTTAGATATCATCGTCAATTCAGCATTCTTCTTCTCCAACTTGCTGAGTTGAGCAGAAGAAGGGGCAACATCAGACTAGTTTCGAATAGTCTCAGCAGCAAAAACCACTCCTTTTTGAAGCAAATGAAATGTCGCTTCCCTTTGTTTTTCCAAGAAAAGACTTGAGAATGTATCAAGATCACTAGCCTTATGGATATGATCAACCAGCTTGAAGCAAGCAGACAGGCTTGACAGGAAGTTCGTCTTCAACAGATCAGAACACATGCATCCCCTTCAGGGCTAGACTTGTCCATCTTGGGATCAGCTGCTGATATTGTAGAAGAACCCTTCGCTCGGATAGATGACTCTCTCACTTTCTTAACCGCGCCAACCTCACCTCCAAAGGAGTTAAGGACGTTAAATCAACTCCACGCTTGACTGCTCGTGACTCAACAACTGGATCATTTGGTGGATGAACAGACCTCCCAGTTTTACCTCCGTCTTTTGACTGGTGCAGACGACCCAAACTTCGAAGAGGAATATCTACATCTCTTTGCCTCTCAACAATTGAGCTAGATCGCTCATGGACCATTTTGTGGAGCAGATCACAATCTCCAAGCTTGTCAGCAGGAGGGTTGAGCGGAACATCCTGAGGGTTGCGTGTACAGCCAATCTTCTTGCTATCTACACGAACAAGATGTTTAACCCTAGTAGATGACAAGGGAACAATTCCTACTTGTTTCTTCTCAGTAGAAGGGAGCTTTGGCTGCTTCTTCCTCAACGGAGACACATTTTTCTCCTGCGAAGAAGCAGCTTCATCCCTTGAGGACTTGACATCAAACCTTCCTTTTTAAAGTGGGTTCAGCAGAACACTCCTTCTGTCTGGCAGGCAGATCATCAGGGTCTGGACCATTTTGTTTCCATCTCTCAACATCTTGGGCAGGGGGCAACCCACCGACTTCCTCTAGATACTCGCTCAACAACTAGCGCCACTCGCAAAACTTCGAGGGAGATGTTCAAAGCTTGGCCAGCCCTAGCCATGTCCGGCCCAAGTTCCAACTTCTTGCATATGTCATTTACTGCAAGCAGCAGACAGAAGTTAGTCACACTTCAAGAAATTCAAATAAAAGGGAAGCAAATCAAAACAACAATGGCATACCGTTGCAGTAGGTGATGGGAACAAGTAAACCATTGCTAACATCGCCTTCCCACCATCCGCTGACTTCAAACACATCATCGTGCCATACATGATCTCCTTGACTAAGATTGTTAAACATCTTGGCATGGCAGATGCGAACTTGAGCATATTTCTCATAGTGCCTCACTTCGAAGAAGTAGAAGAACTCTCGTACCGTCATATCCAACTTGAAGATGCGGCTTAGATTTGACAGCGGGAATGTGAAGCCCAAGGAAAAATAAAAAGGACCGAAGGTGATGATCCTAGCATCTAGATCATTCGCATCCACGCAACGCATGTCATCAGTCAAAGGCTTCACCAGCTTGACATGCACGTTATTAGGAATGGCAGAAGCATAAGCGGCTCGCCACTTTTGGAACTCAGCTTCAGTTATAACGCGATGCAGATTAGCCACGAACCTCTTCTTGTATAATTGGGAGCCTCCCCACATATACAAAAGCACTTTAAAGCTTGGTGACTTGCTACCATCTTCAGAAGACATGATCGACAACTATAAGACAAGAAATTTGCAAGTTAGAATAAATAATAATAATAAAGAGCTGGCAGCAACAAACAAAACAAAACAAAAAAAACAAAAAAGCAGCAGCAAAAAAAAAAAAAAAAAAAAAAAAAAAAAAAAAAGAATATTTGGAGCAGCCCAGTCTACCATATGCCCCAATCAGAGCACATGCTCCAGCGCACAGGCCCACGCCACGCCAGCTCCAATGCTCCTAATCCGGCCCAGGCCCGTGCAGCGCATAAGGCCCTCCTTACTCAGCATCAACTCGCATCTCCAGCAGCGTAAGAGGCCCACAACGTCTCACCAGGCCCATTCGCACCGCAACACGAGTGGTTTACTCTCCCAGTGCACAACCCCATCACGCATAAGGCCCAGCGCCTCCATGCCTTTGCTCTGAGCCCAGGTCCTCCATGCCTTCGCTCCAAGCCCAGCGCAGGTAGGCCCAAGCTTGCCTGCCCTTGCCCACAATCATCACTGCTCAACCATGAAGCCATGCCAATAGCCAAAAACCACTTGGCTGGCCCACCTCCTTGCTGCCAAAAGTCATAACTAAAGAAAAATAATTCCAAGTTAATTTACCTTGGATATGCGGCAAAGTCTATTCCTTAGGCAAGCTGGAACGATTCTCTCACTGAAGGAATTGGAGAACAAATTCGTGATATGAAGAATAACTTGGAGGAGCTTTATGTTTATAGGGATCAAAATTCCTTGACCTACAAGGAATCTCAAGCTCATTCCAATTGAAAGTTCAGAAAATTAGCAAGTCAAAAACCCCCTCCAAGCAGGGGCCCAAATCCAAGATGGAAGCCCAACCCAACAGTCAATCCACATCTCCTACATGACACTGCGCACCATTGAGAAGGTGGGGGGCATTTGTGGGAACCAAATTTAGCAAAACCCTAGGTAAAATATTTCCTTCCATTTGGGGATTATTTGATTTGGGGATTCTTGCCTTGAATTAGGGATTTGATTCTCATTAAATCCCTAATTGATTGAAATCTCCTAAAATCAGGAAAAATAATTCCTTTCCAACAAGGATTATTTTTCCCCAAACCCTAGCCCTATGAGGCTCTAGAAAAACGAGGCTATCCAAGGCATGAGGTAAGCCATTCATAGCTCTCAAATTACTGCACCCCTCCTTACTGTCACCTCCCTCTCTCTCTTACACAAGGCTTCGACCACCCAGTTCTCTCCAGCGAAAGCTCCGTACCCTTTTTAGCTATCGTTTCTCTATGAATCAATCGAACTAACTTAGGCATCGGAGAGCCTTTGGGCAACACCCTCCGGGTGTGGTCCTTTTACTCCGATTGGTTTTGCAGGGAGAAAGAGTTCGAGGAAGCAGAGTGGAATCTATTGATCGAATATTCTAAGGGACGAAAAATCAATCCCACCAATAATGCTCCTTCAAATGAAGAAATTGTGATTTTTGCTTTGTATGCAAATTGTGATCCTCTTTCATTTGATGAGGCATGTCAACATGAACATTGGATAAAAGCAATGAATGAAGAAATTCATGCAATTCCCTGGAAAAAAAAAATTCATGCAATTGAGAAGAATAAACACTTGGGAGCTCACTTCTCTTCCTGAAGGGAGAGAGAAAGTACAAGCCGAATGGAGATGTGGATCGCTTCAAGACAAGTTTAGTAGCCAAAGGCTACAAGCAAAAACCAGGTATTGATTATTTTGAGGTTTTTGCTCCTGTTGCTAGGGTTGATATTGTTAGAATGGTTATTTCTCTAGCTACCCATAATGCTTGGAAGATATTCCAAATGGATGTAAAATCATCATTTTTTAATAGAACCTTAGAAGAAGAGGTTTATCTTGAACAACCATGGGGTTATGTGAAAGAAGGGCAAGCTGACATGGTGTATAAGCTAAAAAAGGCTTTGTATGGCCTTAAACAGGCTCCAAGAGCATGGTACACCAGAATTGATTCCTACTTCATAAAGCATAAGTTTCAAAGGTGCCCATATGAACATACTTTGTATGTCAAAAATAATCAGCAAGGGGATGTCGTTATTGTTTGTGTGTATGTGGATGACTTGATAATTGCAAGCAATAATATGAGATTAGTTGCAGAATTCAGGGAGGCTTTAGCATCTCAATTTGAGATGACTGATATGGGGTTGATGTCTTACTTTCTTAGCATTGAGGATATGCAAACAGAACAAGGGACTTTTATGTCACAAAGGAAATATGTTGTGACATCCTCAAACGTTTTAAAATGAAATCTTGTAAGCCAATTGTGACTCCTATTGAAGAAAGATTGAAGCTACAGAAAGATGGAGTTGGAGAGTTTGTTAATCCTACATTTTTCAAGTAGTTGGAAGTTTGCGCTATCTGACTGCCACTAGGCCTGATACCACATTTGGTGTTGGGCTTATTAGTATATTTATGGAAGCTCCACAACAATCACACATGCAAGCAGCAAAATGAATCCTGAGGTATGTCTAAGGCACTCAAGGTGATCATATTTTCTATTCAACTAACTGTCATGTTAAGCTTGTTGGATATACATACAATGATTGAGCTGGTGATGTTGAAAAAAAAAGTACTTCAGGCTATGCCTTTCACATTAGGTAAGGAGTTATTTCTTGGTCATCAAAGAAGCAGCAAGTTGTTGCCCTTTCATCTACTGAAGCAGAATATAATGCAGCCATTAGTTGTGCAACTCAAGTAGTATGGCTACATCAATTGATGGAAGTTCTTCACCATGAACAGAAAATTCCCACTACAATTTTCTGTGATAATAAGTCAGCAATAGCTTTGTCAAAGAACCCAGTTTATCATGGGAGGACTAAGCATATTAATGTGAAGTTTCACTATATTCATAACTTGGTGAATGATAAGGTGATTGAAGTTCAGTATTGTCCAACTGGAGATCGAATTGCATACATATTTACGAAGGCTCTAAAGGCGAATACGTTTACGAAGCTGAAACAAATGATTGGGATCAGGGGCGGTCCTACCCTAAGGGCAGGGTAGGCACCCGCCTACTCAACTTTTGGCCAAATAAAAACTTACCCAATACTTAATACCATAAAATATCTTCTACCTACTCAACAAAAACAAAAGCCCAGCCCAAAAGCAATATCAGCTCCTCTGCTCCAGCCGACATTCCCTTACCCCCATGGGCCATGCCCACTTATATTATACATCAAAAAAACAAAAGGAGCACAGCAAACCCTATTGCTATCAAGTGAAGGTCCCCACTTCTTTTCCCCTTGAGCAAATTGGCTGGCTGCAACCCGACGGTCCCCACTCTTCTCTCCTTGGCAGCAAGATCTTCTTAGCAGCTTCTTCTCCTTTCTTGGCAACAAGTATTTCTCATTCTCTCTCTCCTATTTAATTATCTGCTCTTTTTGGGGTTTTCCTAAAATACATGTATGATGTATGCATCTTAATTTTAATTTTAATTTGAAATTGAGTATTCTAGGGTTTAATTAGAAATTAGTTATAATTTGGGGATTTTGTTGAAATTAATTAGGTCTATGAAATTGAGTATTGCCTCCTCTTTGTTGAGATGTTTGATTTGATGGTTGGTGTTATTGAGATGTTTGATTTGTTGTTAGTATGTTAATGTTTGATTAAAGACATTGATGCTATTATGAGAATTTGTTTGATTTTTAATTGTGATGTTTGATTAAATAGATTATCTTTCATTATGTCGGATCACAATCGGAACCCTAAGAAAACAAAGAATTTGTTCTCTTTTTTTTAAGAAAAAGAATGATGGCTCATCATCTAGTACAATGCCACCCCTTTGTGATGAGCAAAATCTTCCCGACTCTCCCATTGTCGAGCCTCAAGTTGAAAGAGTTGAGACCCAAAGAGTTGATAGTGGTCAAGATTTTAATATCAATTATCTTGAGCGTGATCCGGGATTACGTCTTCAAATATGCCAATATTCGGTGAATGAACAAGATAATGTGTGAAAAGGCTATATTATTTTAGGACCATGTCAACTGGAGTTAGAAGATTATCCAAGCCATTTAGAAGGGCGAGACTTACGTCGATTTAATAAAACGTGGTTTAGTAAATTCCCTTGGCTTGAGTATTCAATTACTAAAGATATGGAATTTTGTTTTCCTTGCTTCCTATTTGACATGAATCACTCACATGCAACCTTTACTATTCATGGATTTCAAAATTGGAAGAGAATTGGTGGCAATCAATGTGTATGTTCAACGTCATGTAGGCAAGCTAAATTCACCACATCATCTTGCTATGCAAAAATGGGTTAGCTTAAAAAACCCATCTCTTCATATTGAAACAGTGGTAGATAAGCAATCAAAGCAACAAGTGATGGACAATCGGTTGCGACTTACAACTACAATAGAGGGCATTAGGTATCTAGTAAATCAAGCAATGGCTTTTCGAGGTCACGATGAATCCGTTGACTCATCTAACCGGGGAAATTTCATTGAAATCTTAAAGTCTTTTGCAAGAATGAATATAGAAGTTGAGAAGGTTGTCCTAGATAATGCTCCTCATAATGCTCAGTATATTGCTCATGACATACAAAAACAAATCTTGCATATTTTTGCTACCAAGGTGAAGAAGAAAATTTGTAGCGAACTTGGGAAGAACAAATATTGTATTCTTGTTGATGAATCACTTGATGAATCAAGTAAGGAACAAATGGCTATTATTCTAAGATTTGTTGATTGTGATGGATTTATTTGTGAACGCTTTTTCGATATTGTGAGTGTTGTAGACACTAATGCCTTGACTCTTAAACAAGAAATATGCAAAGTGCTTGATAATAACGGCATTCTAGTGGAGAACATGCGTGGCCAAGGGTATGATGGTGCTAGTAATATGCGCGGTTCATGGAATGGATTACAAGCATTGTCTCTTCAAGATTGTCCATATGCATATTATGTGCATTGCTTTGCTTATTGCTTGCAATTAGCATTAAATGGTGCGGCTAAAATGTGAAGGTTGTATGGAGATTTTTTTCAATGTTGACTAACATTGTGAATTTTGTTAGTGCTTCTGATAAGCACCGTAATGAGTTAAATCTAATTTGAAAAGCTGAACTCAAAGAGTTGTTGGATTCTGGGGAACTTGAGACAGATGACTTAATCAAGATCGTAGTTTGAAACGAGTTGGAGCCACTTGTTGGGGATCTCACTATGCCTCTATTATAAGTTTAATGAGTTTGTTTAAAGAGACCAAAATACTTCTTCAGGAAATCAGTGATTATGGACCTAATCAACAATTTCGTGGCGATGCAAAAAGTAATTATATTGCTATGATGTCTTTTGAGTTTGTGTTTGCATTGCCTTTGATGGATAAAATTATGGGATTGACCAACTCTCTTTGTCAAGTGTTTTAGAGAAAAGCTCAAGATATTGTAAGTGCTTTAAACTTTGTTGAAAACACAAAATCACAATTCCAAGATATGAGGGCACATGGCTAGGATGATTTATTCATGAGTGTGGTATCATTTTGTGAACAACATGGTATTGATGTTCCTAATATAAGTGCTCGTTATATGATGGGCACACGTCGTTCTTGTCAACAAAAAGATTTTATTACAATTGAACATTACTATCACTTTGATGTATTTAATGATGTGATAGATTGCATGTTGAGGGAGTTAAATGACAGATTTCTAGAGCAAACAGTTGAACTTCTTATTCTTAGCTCAGCATTGGATCCTCGTAATTCCTTCAAATCATTCAATATTGGGCATTTATGTAAACTTGCTGAGAAATTCTATCCTGCTGACTTCAGTCCAAGTGACTTGAAAGCTTTAGAAATTGAGTTGAGGTATTTTCAAAATTATATGCATCGCCTTCCCTGCTTTAAGGACCTCACCACTCTTCCTCAGTTATGTCAACAATTGGTGGAAACAATTTTGGCAGAAAACTACCACTTGATTTACAGGTTGATTCAGTTGGTATTGACTCTTCCTGTTTCTACAGCAACAACGGAACGAGCTTTTTCATGTATGAGAATTATTAAGAATAGACTTCGGAGCACCATAGCTGATGAATTCCTTGCTGATTGCATGATTCTCCACATTGAAAGAGAATTTGCTAATAATATCGATAATGAAGAGATAATTGAGGAATTTAAGATTTCTAAGCCTCGTAGGGTAAAGTTTTAGATTAAAATAGTTTAGTTTTGTGTTGCATTGCATTTACTTCTTGTTTTTTTGTTAAGCTTTTATTTATGTATAAATATGCATTTGAGGGTAAAGCTCATTACGTCCCCCCTGACTAGGTGTATCTTTTAATTTTTATGAATAAAATTCACTCGTACCGTCGAGTTTTTAAGGTAAGTTTCGCCTACTTGACTTTTGAATCCTGGATCCGCCACTGATTGGGATGATGAGTTATGATAAGCTTGATTTAAGTTGTTTTGAAAAAGCACCAGGACATGGTTTATGTAGGCAACTTGACTTTTAATCTTTTAATTTTTCTAGGAGATATGCTGTCAGTGGGCTCTCAAGTCTCTAGGCTACTTTCTCTATGAAGGTGACGTGTTGTCGTTTGTTTTTCTGAAGCTCCAAGCTTCCTCCTTGCACAGCCTATATGTTGGTATGCTGTTTGTTTTGCTTTGTAGTAAGAAAGAGTGTTGCAAATTAATAAAATCGTTCTCTTATTTCCAGTTCATATTTTTCTTCTCTGGTTTCTTTATTGTGTGAGAATACTGAGTGTTGTAACTCACCTGCGTGAGTCTTCTGTTTGTTGGTTCTAGGCTTTGTTTAATTTTATTTTGTACAATGTCCATAGTTTTTTAATCCAGTATTGGGAACTTTTCACGTAAAAATCTCTTGTGCACATTATTTGCTTGTTTTGTTTTTTTGTTTGAGAACTTAAAGTTGAATATGATTCATTTGATTAAAGTTGGTAAGATTAAAATTAGTATTAAAGCCTATTCAAACTCCTCTAGCTTCTAGGATTTAGTTATGCAATTTCAACTACAATAATAATGTGGAATGTAATGTCATCGTCATGGATGCTGTAATATCTACAAATTTAACTGGAGACCACATAAGATTGCGAAAAACATTTATCCCAAAGTGTAATATAGGGCCTCGTTTGTTAGGGAGGACTAGACTATACTAGAAAATTGCCTACATTTCATGTGCATTCAAGGCATAATATGGATATTGTTGTTTGACTTGGAGGATGAATAAGGACTATTCATAAGAGGTTAATGACTAAAACTAATCCCTCTTCTTTTTCTTTTTCCTTTTCTTTTTGGTCGAAGGAATGAAGATTTCATTACCTTAGCAAGTTACAGTCAAGCCTAATACAACAAACAGAATAATAAAACAAAAGCACAACCAAACAAAATAAGCCCAACCATAATACACATAATTTAGGCCCAACACAACAAAAAACCCTAAGACACACACAAACCCTAAAATCACACCCAAGAACTAAACAGTCACCGCTACCACCCGATCTGCCGTCGCCGCCAGTATTGTGCACCAAGCTCAAACAATCCATGGATTGGTCTAAATTGACCATTAAACTACAGAGCCAACTCCTCCAGAGCAAAAGCTCATATTTGAGGATGGGTTGTAGGAGATGAACAACAGCAACAAACCAAGAGACAACCAAGCAGATCCTAGGGAAAAGGAAGGTGTTAAGGTTAAAGAGTTCGTGGTAAGGGAAGAGAAATGCGCTCAAGGAGGGTGGGTGGATGAGAGGTTAAATGGCAGTAGAGTAGTGGGAGAGGAGATTGAGGAGATCTGGGCCAACAGCAGAAAAACAAAGTTGAAAAAGCACACCTAAATCCTAAACCCTAAACTAATCCCTCTTAATCCCACCATTTTCATGGGAAATAGGGGGATAAGTTTTGGTCATCAACCACTTATAGATAGTCTCCATTCTTCCTCAAAATTAAACAACATATCCATATTATGGCTTGAATGCACATGAAATATAGGCATTTTGCTAGTCTAGTCTAGTCTAGTGTAGTCCAGTCTAGTCCTCCCTATCAAGAAGTTCCAACAATTTGTGACTATATTTACTTCTCTAAAAACATATAAAAGTTAAAAAAATGCTCAAGTCGAAGAAGCCTCTGGGTATCATTAGTCTATGACAATACTCCAAGAAATATTATTACTAGTATTACCAGAATTCAAAAAGGTCATATTTACCAAGTATTTGTTTGGATTTTTCTTTTTACAACTCTTTCTATAGACAATATTATGCAGAGCATATTACAATACATTACAAACCCAAGTTCTCTCTCCACCTGTTATCGTCCCATAATTACGATAAGGCTGTCGTGCAGAGACAAGTTCCCAGATTATGATGTCCACAAGGAGTGCATATCATCCAATTGACTTAACTTGGTGGACTTGAGAGAGATTTTGTAAAGCTCCCTCAACTTTTCAGCATCTCCAGACCTGTTGGATATTGAAGGTGGCTGAGAAACAGGAGATTTGTTGGCACGTGCAGCAAGCGCCACAGCCAACATCTTCCTCAAAAGCATCTGCAACTGACTCCAAAACTTCACAAGTACCTCAGAATGATCAGTTTTCGAAGAGTCCGAATCTGTTTCTGACACACACCGTCCTTCGAGCATGTAAGACAGAGCTGATTCCAACATCTGGAAAACAAGCAACATTTCAGCCTCATTCAGTATTTGAGTGCGAACAACGGTAAGGAGGCTTCAAGTCATGGCAGATTATAACGCTAGATTTTCTTACTTATTCACATTGCCGGAGAACAATAAAATGCTCAACATGCCTAAATACATAGGTTAAAACTCCCTGCTAACAAATTTTTTTATTTATTTTTATTTTCTATAACAAATATTTAGTAAGTGCAAAGGACAACACAAATACACGAGTACATGTTGCTGGACCTCAGTATCAAATCTGTTGATCAACTTCCTAACCAACTTACATCTCTAATCAACTTAATGTCATGATAAACGGAACAAGACAAGTCAGCAAGTGAATCACCAATATGAATCAAAATGCTGAAGCCAACAGTCAAAAGGATGAGATCATAAGAGTTCTATAAAAAGGAACAATTCAAGAATAAAATCCCCTTCTTAGCATTCAATTCGCCTATCCAATCCCTAAAATGTGGTGCAATCCATGCACGCACTTGTATACCATATACTTTTCAGTCTCTGTCTGAGTTTCAAAAAGGGGTGAATAAATATTATTTGTACCAAGAGAAATTCAAAATTTTCAATAAGTGTTAAGTTCAAGAACATACTGCATTTGAGTGTAAAGGGCTTGAAAGGCTCAGTGAAAGAGCTGATCTTTCTATAAGAATAGTCAGGTACATGGTAGGATGCGTCTTGGGGCCATAGAAATCCATGGCCTTTTGCAAGTTCCTCTCTGCCAAGGCTGCGTATTGCTTGACCCGTTGGAGAATAGTGTTTTCAGCTTTAGATAAGCTGCTTTTCTTATGGTCTGGCTCTAAGAACTTCAAACAACAATCCCTTTGGTAGCAAGCCAGCTGAAAATAGGCATATGCAGCCTCCTGTTTCCGTAATTCGCCTAATGATTCATAAACAGACAGTGCCTCCCTAATGGCAGCATTGGCTGAAATCTCATGCTTACGTGATTCTTTTCTTGACTTTCTGCCACTAGGGCTAGTGGAATCAACATGCACATCTCCCAAGACTCCAGCTTCATAAACTTCTGCCGATATATCTTCTCTTGCCAAGAGCATTCCGAGCCTCAGATACGTATGAGCAAATTGTGTATATACCTCAGTCCTCAAATTGTTTAATTCAGGGCCAGCAGCTTCTTCAACAAACGCATTGAGTTCCACTTTTGCTGCCCCATAATATTTAAGTGATTCACTATATTTTAATTTTGCAGTCTCTAATGCATGGTTGTATGCAGTTCGAAAGATTGCATGCGTCTTGAGACTATCAATCTTTGATACCATCTCTTCTGCCAATGCCCGTCTTCCATGGCCCAAGTTACAGTTTATTAATATGATATTGGTATGATCAGAGACTTCCCTGAATGCTTTTATAGCATCTGCAAAAGCAAATTCAGCTTTGTTTAGTTCTTTCCTCTCAAGCCTATTTCGACCCAGTTCATTGCATACCCACCCTTTCTTTTTCATTATAGATTGTAATTCTGCTGAACTAGATGGAAGACCACCTAATGCCTTTCTAGCTTCTTCATAACAGCATAGGGCTTCTGAAAGATTGCTTTCAGCATCTCCAACTGCAGGACCTCCAAGGTACTTGAATATCCCACCATTTTTTACTTTTGTTGGTTCTCTCAAAGCAGCATTAGATTGAGAGGCCAGTGTCGACCCCATATCATGCATCTCTAGGATGCCTTCTAAATTGTTAGAAGATTGTACTGTGGTTTCACCATTTCTATTTTGGTGTAAATATTCACGATCAGAAACATTTCTGTTCTCCATTTTCAAACAAAGATTATCATCTTCAGGGTCTCTTAAAAGTGGGTAGGCGTTGCTCTTAGCATAGGATCTTTTACTGTATTTCCTGCCACAAGTTACCGAGCGCATATCACGACGACTACTACTTGCACTGCTACCACTGCTTGCTCTATCACTCTGACAGCTGCAATTTACCAGAGAACACGAACTGCAGTTCTGTGTATACTGTCCCAGCTTCTTCTTGAGCCTTTTCACTTCTTTCACAACCTCAGATGACACTTTCAACTCTCTAGTAGAATATTTTCTCTTCTCCAGTGCAGGGATCATACTATCCTTGGCAATATGGAATTCAACATAAACATCTCCAACTAGTGTCCATGCCTTGGCCCAGAAGAGGTAGATGGAAGAGAACTGCTCAAACGAAAGACAGTCATCATTGGAGTTTGAGCTCAGATCCTCCAGATCACTATTAGATGATCTTGTCTTTTTATTTGTATAACTGAATTTTGTCTGTGATGAAAAGCAACTACTCATGGAAGAAATGAATTTTGTGTCTTCAAGATGTTGAGGCATGGATCCATAAACAGAACAGGCCAATTCTACAACCTTTAAAGCTTGATGTAACTGGCCATCCTCCTTATAAGCTTGTCCAAGTGCCAAATACGATTCTCCAAGCAAAAGAACGAGTTTCCACAGCTTATGGTCCAATTTTGATGTTGGAAGCCATTCCCGAATGTCACAAACTTCAATACAGTCAGCATCACCACATGCACAAACGGAAAGATTAACAGATGAAGGTGGCCTATCATGGGTTTCATTATCCTGGCCCATCAACTTGGATTCAGTAGTCTGCAGTTGGCGCATCCATCTAACAGATTTAATAGCCTGAGAAACATGATGTATTGCAGCTAGTCTAGACGAGATTGGTTCAGCAACCGTTTGAACTACATGTGTGGTTGTTGCAGGCAATTTGCCAACTTCAGAGCTTTCATCGCCAGAGGAACTTAGTACAGCTTCTGTGGAACCTCCGATGTCCGTGCCACCTGCTGCTAACAATTTTCTTGGAGAATATGCATTTGCTTCTAAAGTCATCTTTACAGAAGCATCACTTACTGAATCTTGAAAACTCTGTCCATGTTCACATGAAGTTTCCTCTCCAACAAGGGAGGGTACTGGTTCATGGACTGACAATTCAGAAATGCTACTCAAAAAGTCCGAAGAATCTTCCTCAGCATCAGTAACTGTAAGTTCACATTCTACAGGCAGAGCATCAGACGTTAACTCCAGCTCTTCATCATGGTTCAAAATAAGCCTTGCAAATTGTTCATGTGCAGATGCACGTACAACCTATTCAGCAGTACATCAATTATAAGTTACCATTTTACTTGTGACTTAAATTTTATTTTATTTTTTTAAATCCTGAATTAGTAACCAGAAAAAAAAAGAAAAAAAAACGTAGTACCAAATGATCTGGCTCATCTAGGAGTTCCAAACATTTTTGGAAGAACCTGGCACACTTTGCCATATTATTTGGAGCCTGCAGAAATTCAAAATAAATTAGTAACAACTTATAACAAGATCAGGGGAATGTACCAAATACAAATGACATATTTCTTCCACACCACTGAAAGTGAAAGCCTGTGAGCACTTCGATACAATAGAGTCCCTAATGAATACAGGGAATCACTTCTCCCTTGATGCAATACAGAAGGCAGGGAGCTTGGGATATCATCACAATCATTAGAAGAATGACTCTTAGGAATCACAGAAAGATCAAAGAGCTGAATGACATCTTCCCCAGCACTTTTATACAGCTGAAATTTTGAAAAGTTAATGAATGTTAGCATTGAAATTTCTACAATAAAGCTCAAACGAAAAAGAAAACAAACAAAAACCCAGTTTCACAAAAAATTAAATCACGTCAGTACCCAATAAGCTCCAGGATCTTGCTTGCAGTTTTCTTGAAGGAACCTCAGAACAGAGAGGCCATTTTGCTGTACCACATAAGGATGAAAAGCAGGAGCGCCATCCTCAGAGATCCCCTTTAGTAGAAATATATCATCTGTTTTCAGAAGCTCATAGCCCTGGACAACACCATTTTCATGATAACAGATGGCCATCTCAGGCACACTCGCCATGACATTGTCAAGCCAGGCTTCAAGCCAAGTTAATGGTGTAACCTGTTATCAGAGAAAAAAAAAAAGCCAGCCAAAAAAAGAAAAAAAAAACAAACAAAAAATAAATAAAGGAAAGAAAAGGGCAAAGATTTGTAGTAGGCCACTTCAACCTGTCGTGAAACATCCCAGAGATGCAAGCTAACAGCAACATATTTTCATTACTGAATAGAAGCAAGTCACTTCCGAGGAGCATGCGGAAATTGTGAAATTGCCAAAACAAAACCCTTAAAAACCCATCATTACCAACTCTTCTATGTTTTTCAGACTCTTGTATTGCGCATCTGGATTTCTCACCAACTTGTGAAGCCTTATTAACAGGATTGCGTCCCTTATTTTTCTTACCCTTCTTACTGTCCCAAAAGAAATCATCCCTTTTAACCTCTGTGTACTCTGGACAATGATTTGATTCTTCATCCCCAGCACCATTCTCATGCTGTCCCACAAACTGAGTATTTGCTCCAGGAAGAACAGAAGAGTTGGATTGCTCCCGTGATGGGACATGATGAGTTGGTGGGCAATCACAAGCTTCCATTCGAACTGAGTGCATAGCAAAATTTAAAAACAAAGATTGATCTGCACATTTTGATTGATTTTTACGTCGTCTTATTAACTTTTCCCCCTCTTCAATATCAGGCCTACACTTCAGAAAAAGATCAGATAAGATAAGATTCTTTTTCTTTTTAAATGGAGGACAAATAAAATACCACATTAGCAATTACAAACCCAGTATTCAGAACAAGTGTCTGTCCAATACGATGAACTTCAATTGATAATCGAGCCTTGGAATATGGCATTTTAAAGATCTGCTTCAGAATGTCAGCTGGAGCAATGACATCAATCTCATCCCCATACTCAACCAAACCAGACACAGCAAGGGCCTCACATTTCCTAGCGAGATTTGATGTAACAGTACCACCATCCCATGCTATACCTGCCAAAGTTAAAGCACCAAAAATAACACCATCCATGTTACAGCTTCAGAAATCAAATTAGGTAAATAAAATGCCATCAATAATTAAATGCCTATTACTATTAGCCTATGTCTTTTAAACTATGAAGCAAAAAAACGACCGTCAAATTCCAATACTACCACATATTCCATAAAATTGTTAGAAACTGAAACTAAATGTTAATTAGTTTTGAAATTGAAAGAGAAATGTACATACCTCCAGCGGCCTTGGAGTGCACGGCAGCAATGGGAAGAACCTTGTCCGGGAAATTTGAAAGCAGTGGAGGACTATTGAGGTCTGTCTCCGTCGGAAGCATTCGATACCGCGGAGCACTCACTCTGCAACCAAAATCAAACCCATAAAATCAAACTCAAAATAAAAAAGAAAATTATAAATAAATAAATAAAAACAAGGAGAGAGAGGTGGGGAGAAAGTACGGACGTTTGGCGGGAAGGAATGAGAGCAGAATCGAAAGAGTGGAAGGCTTTGTCTGTGGGAACAGGAATGGAGCCGCAGAGGAAGCCAACGGGGTTTGGCCTTTCGATTTCCAATTTCCCTATGCACTGAAGCTCTCGAGATCCCTCTGAGCTTGACGCTACCGATGCCCATGGTTTCTCCATCACTGGCTTCTGTTTTGAGTGTGCAATAGCAGACCTCGAACCCTAGCTAGGGTTTCAAATTCAGATTTGCGTTCTTTTTCTTTCTCAAGCTTTTGCAGACTGTAGCCTGTGGTTGAAGCTTTTCTTTTGGGTACGGTCTCTTTCTTCTTCTGGAAACTTCACTGAAATGGACTGGCTCTCGCGTAATGTACCCGAAAGCTGATTATACATGGCCCGAGAAAAAAACAATGTTAAAACAGTGAAAAAATAAAAGAAAAGAAAATTTTAATTTTAATTTGGTCACTGAGTTTAACACCAAACTTTAATTTGAAAACTGAGAAAGAAAACTTTAGTCAAATTTGATAACTGTCACTCAAAATTTACAATTGATAGACATGCAATTATCTATCTATATACATGTAAAAGCCATAAGGTTTTAATGTGAAACATTCAAAATCTCACCAATTATCAATATTTAATAAAAATGTTAAAAATAAAGACTCTTTATTAAATAAGGATAAAATAATATATACACAATATGTTTAAAGTAAAATATATAAAAACAAGAATTCGTTATAGCGGAAAATCAATAAAAATTATGCATATTTTGATAAGATATTTGTCTTGAGCAATTTGTAGGTGAGTCGTTAGTGTTTTCTATTTGAAATTTCGTGCACAATCAATGACCAAAAAAGTATTTAAACAAGTGACCAAAGGCTTTGCACACATGTATCTCGTATGTGAGTCACCTAATGGAAAAGTAACAACATATCTATAAATTGTAAATGTTGGCTTATACACTGATCAATTTAACTAAATCTTTTTCTCAGCTACCAAATCGAAATTTTGAGTACAATCTAGTGACCAAAAAACACTCAAAAATATATTTTTAGTAATTGACTTGTTTTTTTACTAGAAAAAATTATATTTTATTTTTATGGTATTGCATATCCAATGATTTGAAAGGTTCAAATTGGCTCAAAATCGAAAAATCATATGGAAAGTGCGAAAAAACTATTATATGCTATTGCTTAGATGTTATCCTTTATGACATAACTCATCTATGTCTATTTGGTCATCAAGTCATATTTAGTTCAACATGAAATCAGTTATTAGTTTGGTGTCAACTTGTAGGGGCTGTTTGGTATCTTATTCAAATAGGGAATTCAAAAACTTTGATTTTTCTTAAAAATAAGGAGTTCTTAAATCTATTTTTATGATTCAAAAACTTGTTTGGTATGCAACTGTTGGTAATTTTTAACAACAATATTTAAACCTTGCAAGTGCACAAATCAAATGATAGTATAGTAAGAAAGCAAGGGTCATTCCCACAGAGATTGTAATCTAGAGAGATGTTTATCAATGTCATGCAACGAAAACACAAGGACTTCCACACACACGCCAACACCAAGGGGGGTTTTGATTTGATTTTGTGAATAAAACAAAATAAGGAAAACAAAACAAAACATAATTTAAATTAGAGTTTAAGAGAAATTATTTTGTGAATAAAACAAAATAAGGAAAACAAAACAAAATAGAATTTAAATTAGAGTTTAAGAGAAATTGGTTTATAATCAATCAAGAACAATAGCTAGGACTCACTATCCACCTCTAACCAATCAATCAATCCATAAACAACAATAGATAATCAATTTCTAGTAAGCATATGATGACGACACTCACAACAAGATCATGGCATTTGACTCGAGTTGTATGATTCTCTCTTAAGTGCATGTAAAGTGTATGGCATTTACATCAATACGTGTATTCTTAATTGAAATCTAGTATGACATTTACTCAAATTAACAATCAAAAATCCATTAAGATCAAAGAGAATATGAGTGTCACAAAAACCCTAAAACATGGCATTTGTTATTAGGAATTCAAGAATCGATTTCTCATAACTAGTTCTTAACCCAATTATTCGTTGCAAACAAGAACACATTCAATATGGCAATTGACCTATGTTCTACAACAATTTAATTCCAATACATGCTTCAAATTTAGCTACTCAAAGAAACAAAATATCAGAATTCACATAACATAGAGAAACCGAAATCATCACGCTTGTAGAAACTAAAAATCCATTCAAACTTGTTTATAGAATTGAAATCATGTTTAGGGCTTCAAGATTAAGCCCTAACTAACAAGAAATTAGTTACTCATGCTCTTGGATGAACTCAAAAATAAATACATAAGAACTGAAACTTAAAAGAAGAAAGGAAAAGAAAGAACTCGTTGGCAGCTTTCTCCTCTTACGTGGTTGATCCCTTTTGGACGTGAATTCTCTGTATCCGGCCTTGGCTGGCCTTTTATATCACTTATATCAAAGTTATAAACCCTAAAATTGACTGAGAGTCGTCCAAGAAGTCTTGGTAAACAAGGAATCCAAATAGGAAAGTAAAAATCACAATTCCTAACTCCACAGGGAAATACAGCTCAGCCCAATTGTTACACGATTTGGGGATCTTCGGCCTTGTAGAAAAATCATTAAAAATATATTTTAGAAAGATAAATGTCTTATCTTTCCAACCATATATAGCACGTAACTTGAAAAATTCGGGAAGGCTTCCGTTTCTTCACATTCACGTAACATGTACGAAACTGTCTTGTCTGCACGTGGGCTAACTTTACTTGTAATACTGTACCAATTGGCTTGGTAGAAAATTCTAGAAAAATCACAGATTGAACTTCAAGATGTTAGCTTTCATCTCCAATTGGCCTTGCGCTAAAATTCCTCCAAAAAGTTTATTTTTCCTTAAAAACCTTCTAAGAGCGCAGAAAAGCTGAAAATCAGAAAAGTAAAGTAATAAGCCCTTTTTAAATCTAATTCTCCTACAAAACCTAAGTAAAAAGAGTAAATAAATGAGTATATTTATGGACTTATCAGCAACTTGAAAATTATTTTCAAATCTTAAAAATTTGAAAACTTGTGGGTTGTTAGAAAAAAAAAAACTAAAAAAAACATATATTTTTGTTTTTAATAATTGGGGGTGTTTTTTGGTTGTTCTTGAGTTTGAGTTTTTAAAAAATAGGGCTACCAAACAGGTTTTCTTTGTTTTGGACTCAAATTCTGTTTTTGAGTTTTAAAAGTTGAATTCAAGTTGAATACCAAACAAGCCCAATTACCTGACTATTTTAAACGAGTTGGGCTTTTAATACTCTTCTTACCTGACTAATTAATATAACCAAAATACCCCCGTTTAGATAATACACGCTTAATTATACGGCTAGGGAAAAAGAACACACACGTTTACATGAAAAATCGGACATTATTTTCATCTTCTTCTCCCTAGGGTTCTTCTTTGTTATCTTCTTCACAAGTTATTTTCTTCATTCTTCTCCACGTATCCATCCCTCTCTCTCTCTCTCTCCCTCTCCGCAATATGATTCTTCTCTCTTCTTCTATTTTCATCTTCTCTTTCTTTATATATTTCCTCTTTATTAAATTTTTTGTGGAAATTATGTTACGAGTTTTTCCTTTATGATTTTTTTTAGTCAAGTGTTTAATTGTTTGTATGTCATAGAGTAATTCAACATTGTGGGAAACTTTAGCAAATAAAGTGATTGCATAGGAATGTAATTGCATTGTAGAATTATTTATTTGTCTATGTTTTGCTTTTTGTTTGGTGTTTTTCACTTTTTCACCCTGTTGGGAACTACATATTGATTAGAATGAAAGGAAACGATGGTTAAGAAGTATGAATCATAGTTACCCAATTCTCTCACCCTATTACGAATTTGAACTGGATCGCACGTACCGAATCGTGGTACGTTAGCATTCTGGAACGTACATTTAGCGAACCAAAACTCATAAAGATTATAACAATACCTTAGCGACCTTGCTGCCCAAACTCGATTAGTTGTTCCAATCATCAACTTAATAGGGTGATGGGAGAGTGATAGTGGCAGCCATGTGTGGGGGGTTTTTTTTCTTTTGGCAACTACAAATGGGTTGGGTTGCCATAAAGAGCAAACATGGATGAAATTTCCCCCTATGTCTGAGTTCAAAGATCATACCCCAATAATGTTTTGAAAGGGTAGTGCAGCCTTAGGAAACACCCTGGTCACCTTCACCAGCAAAAACAATGGCTACTTACAAATGAATTCTTAGTGCTTACAGGTAGAATCTTGGCTTAGCATGAGAGGCTTGTGGCATGGAAGCAAAGTTGTCATGAGTTTAGCCTTAAAAAGAGAGAGTTGTGAGTTTCTATGAAAAACAGGGGTTCTAAGAAAAAAAAAGGGGGACTAGGATTATCAAAGGGTTTGGTTAAAAAGAGGGGAAAGGCTAAAAGATGGCAATTGGTGGTTTAAGTGATTTTCCAGCAGCTTGATAGAGGTTCTGTCAAATATCAGAACAATCTACCAAGAGGGAAAACTAAAGGGGAGAAAGATTAACTGAGCACGAAATTGCTGGGTTTAGGAAGTAAGATAGGAAACTTGCCATCTGGCTATGGGTTGTTGGTTGTTGGGTAGGAGGTGCTTCATTTATAGCCGCTGGAAGCTCCTCCTTCCCAAGAAACCCTAATGGTTTCTATCTAATTTGGCCAAATATTCCCTTCCTTTCTTTCCTCATCCCTCGACTTATCTTATTTTGGTGAAATCCACTCTGCCCAATCGCACAAAAACAAGGATTTTTGGGATCTCAAGGCCTTTTCCTACAGCTGTTTCAGTGGGGGACTCCTATTCTCAGCAAACTCCCTTTTTCTTTCCTTCCTTCTTCCATGGCCAGATCTAATGAGGGAAAGAATTGGGTATACATGCTGGTTCGAAGGGCGCCCCTTCTCCTGGCAGCCTGCGCGCTAAAATCCCCGGGTCCTTTGGATGTCTTTTGCTTGAAACTTGTTCCCTCATATGTGCTGGAGCTTCCCAGCAGTTCTGCACACGTGGACCTCCAGGCTCCCTTCGTGGCTTTGTTCTCCAGCCAAGTGCTGGGGCTTTTGCTGCTTCTTTTCTAATTGTATGGGCATTCTAAGACAAAATGTTGTTTTATCAAATAAATGGGTTAACCTTATCAAGCGTTGGGCTATTTTCGTTGGAGTAATGGGCTATTTTCTCTTTCTCTTTTATGCTCACCCACATTGGGTTTCAAGACATGGGCTTGAGTTTCGAGGCTCCCAAGACCTCATGACAACTTGTTACCATCCATACCACAACTCACTCAAGCAAGCCCCGAGCATTTGAGTGGCTTGGGCCCACTTAAGCTTGTAGCACGGTTAGGTGGGAAATATTAATCTCCTGCTTGGTGTGGCATGCTTTTTATTATGATGCTTGACGGGATAATTAGCATGGATTTGTAGAGTTAGTGCATTTTATAATCTTAATCTCGATTCCTAGCATGCTGAATTACTTATTTGGCATGGCACGTGGAGTGTGACTTGTGCATGGCAGACTTTTGCATGCTCCAAATTGGGGTCTTTTCTCAATAATGTGTCGTATTAGGCCAAGAATTTATTCGGACCCAACTGTAGATTTTTTGGGTCTCAACACCATGAAAAGAGACAAAGAGATGAAAAGAGAGAGCCATGGAAACAGAGAACAATGAGGGAGTTTTGGAATTAGGTAAGAAGCAGTGGAGGAAGAGGTTGGGTGTTCAATCTAATAAAGAAAGTGGTTGTTTTCGAAATGCTATAAAAAAAGGCACGGGCCTTTTTAACTTCCCACTAAATTACTCCATTTCCCTATGAAATTAAATTTTCATTAACTAAATAATAAATTAGACTTGAAAGACCTTAAATTCCCACTAATGAAAGTCTGCACTCATTAGGGAATTGGTTTATGCAAGTGCGACGGTATTTTGTTGTCATTAGTCTTGTGCATACTTCTACTTATTGTTGTATTATTCTCATTTTACTTGTATTCAATGATGATGATGAGGAACTTGAGGTTGAACCAAATCATTTTGCCTCTTTGCCAAGATCAAATCAACAAAACTCAACTAGCTCAAGCAATCAAAATTGCAAACGAAATGCAGATACTATATTCAAAAGAAAATGGCTAAAACATTTGGTGAGATGATTTCTAAGTCTGTTGACCAATTGAAAACTATAACTAATAGTTTTGAGAAAGGATCAAAACCAAGACCTGACATTGTTGTTGAATGGCAAAGATGAACTTGTTTATTTATGACCAAATTAAGGGACTACGTCTAATTTGGAGAAAGCAAGTGATGAGAGAACATTCTTGACATTGGATGGTGCTATGAGAAAAGAATTTGTTTTTCTCTTATTTTGGCGAGGGAGCTGTGACCAACTCTTCAATGCAGTTTAGTTCATGAACAACATTCCCTTTAGCTCTTATCACCTTAGCATGTGATCATTTTGAATTATACATTATTTGGTATTGTTTTATTAATGCATCTGGGTATGTTGGAATTTTTTGAGATTCTACAATTTTAATAATGGGTTATATGAAGAAAAAAATATTGGCAAAAACAAATGGAAAAAAATATTGTCATATGAATCTTACCAAAAAAATGTCATGTCATTAGAAATTCAATTTCCACTTAAATTATCAACGAATTAAAAAATAAAATTGTCTGATCCGATGTTATCCAGAATAGCACCAACACAGTATAACTTAGCCAGACTATTTATCCAGAACAACACTAAATGCCTTATAATATTATGGATAAACAGTCAGTACTGTCCGGAACATATTAATACTATCCGACATAAATTAGTCAATATAGTCTGACGTACCAAACGAGCCCTACAATCTTAGCTTGAAATCCTGATATATTTCAGAATTCGGAATTTTAATATTTATAAAATACATTCCAATTTCAATCCAATTTTGTTTAAAGTTTTTGGATTTCAGAACTTTCAAATGTCGGAATTGATTTTGATTTTGATTCACCAAAATAAAATAAAAATGGATAAAAATCATCGGAATCAAAATTTCCAATCCAAACTTGCACCTATCTTTCTATGATAAAAATATTGGGAAATGACCTCCACTACCACCCATTTGCTAATATTAACTAAAAATACCACCCCTTCCCAATTTTTGTAAAACTATAACCTATAAATATAAAATTATTGTCCTCCTATTGCTGATTTATCACAAGTTCATAAATTTTGGTCTCTCTTAGCTCACTCAGCTCTCTCTCTCTCTCTCTGGCACAGCTCTCTTTCTCTTTGGTATATGTCTATCGCAGCTCTCTGTCTCTCTTGGCTCTCTCTCTCTGTAGCACAACTCTCTGTCTCTGTCTTTGCTCTCTTTCTCATACCGCAGCTCTTTCTCTCTCTAGATTCGTTATGTCTCTTTCTCCCCATATTCGGTCTTGCTCTCTGTTTGGAATCGCGAACCCCTCCCTTTAGGTATGTCTTCTGAATAGCTGCTTGCAACCGTGAAGCTCTAGTGGATTGCCGACCTCGAAAAGGTAGTGTTGATGGTTATTTTCTTTTAATATCAGTGGGATTATGTGAAATGGGTTACATTTTGATTGTTTGGGTTTGTGTTAAATTTGTTTTGGCTTTAATTGCTTGGGTTAAGTTTTGTTGAATATCCATGCTGATTCATCTGGGTTTGTACCAATTGCACTTAGATTGGTCTGGATATGTGAATCTTGAAACTTGGGATTTTCCATTTGATGTAGTAGATCTGTTATAGTGTGATTCTGATGTGTTACACCAGTGTTCCTCTTATTTTACTGTCGTATTGTTGTTATGTTGCTGCTATATTGCCATTATATTGCTGTTATATTGTATGGTTATTGTGGTTATATTGTGTTAATGAACTGTTGTTTTGTCATGGTCAGAAATGGAGACAATTGTTATTCTCGTGTGCTACAATGGAAAATGGGTCACCTCGAAGAAGATGTGCAAATACGAAGGGGGTGACTCAAAAGGCTTAATAGTTCCACGGACCATCAAATTTGCTGAACTGTTGGACCGTGTGCATCAGATTGGTAATACAAACAGCAGGGAAGACAAGGTTTGCTTAAAATTCTCAGTTTTGGTGGCCTCGAATGAGTGGAAGCACATAAAGATTGAGGATGATGATGATGTCAATTTTTTTATGAAGTACAATTCTGAGGTAACACCTTCAAAACTAGCTCCCTTACTTGTGAGTATAGAAGATAAAGGACTCACAAATGATGTAGTTGATAGTATGCATATCACGACAAATAGTAGTCGGATGGGTCGTTCTTCAGTTGCCATTGTTGAAAGCAATGAAGTAAGTTGGAATAATACAAATGGCACTGATGTGGGAGGTGAAGTAGGGACAATTTTATGGATATGATTGATTTTAGCGAGGTGGAGGACATGCATGGTGGTGATAATGGTACTGAAAGAAATGAAGTGTCAGTGTACTCTGCCCCTCCTATTTTGGGCTGCTTGAACACATCTGCCCAACTGCCAATAATGCGTTTAGGAGGAGAATCTGAACCCATTCGTGAACATTATTGGAATCAAATAGGGTGAACAGAACCGGTACAATGAAGCCGGTGTAAATGATGGGGAAGCATATTTGGATAGCGGGTGTTCGCGAAGTGATTGGAATCCGAAAATTACAGTTGGGCAAATTTTCTCTAGTAAGAAAGCATTGTTGACGGAGTTACAGTTGACGGCAATAAGAGGCCACTTCGAATTTAAGGTGCAATTCTCCTGCACAAAGAGGTTGCTTGTGGGTTTGTTGTCAACGTCCATGCCCATGGCGGGGTCCGAGCATCGAGATTTGGAGAATACAGCTTCATGATTGTGAGGTGTACAACTGTCCATGAATGTGATTGTGGTTCATAAGTGACAACCATCGTCAAGCAACCGCAGCACTTGTAGCCACTTCATGTAAAAGGAAGTTGAAGGATTCTCGGACAATATACACACCAAGTGACATTATGAGAGATGTGAAACACAACTTTGGTTTAAGAATCCATTATTCGAAAGCTTGGAAAGCAAGGGAGTTAGCTCTATTGTCCATTAGAGGATCAGCGGAGGAGGCATATTATATTCTTCCAGCTTATTGCTATGAATTGGAGCGTATGAATCCCCGGCACAAAAACACACATCCAAACTGATGAGAACAATCACTTTGTGTATTTATTTATGGCGGTTGGCGCATGTATTAGAGGGTTTTGTTCTTCCATGCGCCCAGTGATAGCTGTGGATGCCACTCATTTAAAATCCAAGTACAAGGGTGTTATGTTTGTAGCAAAATGCATTCGATGGTAATCGAAATATTATACCTCTTGCTTTGGGATCGGGGATTTGGAGACGGATGCATCATGGCATTGGTTTTTCACTAAACTTCATGAAGCCATTGGTGAGTGTCCCAATCTTGTTATTATTTCTGATCGAAATGTTAGCATACAGAATGTGTGGAACAAAGTTTTTCCAACTGCGCAACATGGCATATGCTTTTATCATATGAAGGGGAACATGAAACGCACTTGCAAGTTGAAAAAGCGTGATCCAATACTTATGCACTTTGAGCAGGCTGCGAAATCTTATTCCATTGCTGAATTTGATTGTCATTTTCGCAAGATCAAGCGAAAGGAACATGTTGCTCAATATCTTGAAGAGGCAGGGTTACATAAGTGGTCTAGAGCTCACATGGATGGACGCCGCTACAATGTAATGACAACAAATATTGCGGAGTCAATCAACTCAGTCCTTAGGTTTGCAAGGACGCTGCCAGTGGTTCATTTGATAGGGGAAATTATGAATCTCCTTGTCAAATGGTTCACCGAACGTCGTGAGTGGCTTTGAAGTGCACAACAACATTGTGCCCAATTTTGGAGAGAAGAAGTTGAGGAACAGGTTGGAGGATGCTGCAAGGATGTCCTTTAATAATGCCAGTTTAATGTTTGGACGGTCATATGGATGGCCTCGTAGATTGACGAACAACACTTGCAGTTGTAGAAAGTTTCAGCTTGAGCAGCTACCTTGCAAGCATGTAGTGGCAGTTTGCCGCTTCTTGAAAGTAAAGGTATACTCAAAGGCTTCCGGGATTACACTCGGAAACCTGATGGATGCTTATTCCGATAGCATCTACCCGATACAGCCTCACGGAATGTGGGAATTCTGAAGATGTTCGAAGTCGAGTTGTGCTGCCTCCCATTGCAAGGGTCATGCAGGCAGACGAAAGAAGATAAGAATTCCCTCGCAAGGAGAGGGCAACGTTAGAAGAAAGTGCTCAAGGTGTGGTTCCGCAGGCCAAATAAAAGCACCTGTAAAAACACTATTCAGTGGCAAGTATCTTAGACAATATGATTTCTGTTGCTTTGGTAGGTCATGTCAACTTTACTTTTATTTGTTGGTGGGTCGTGTTATGTGAATGGGAATTCTTTTCCATTTGCATAATTGGGTTGCATTGCTACAGCATGCTGTATTGCGTCCAGATTGCCATTATATTGTACTTTATGCACGGTATTACTTCCATATTGCTATTATAATTTGAGAGATTGCGAAAGTAAAGGGCCGGGAATGTATTCCAAATGATCCAAAACATTCAAGTCTTGAATTCCTTTATGACACAGTTAGCGTGATACTCCCGACTATACCTCTTTTGTGATACACAGTCGGGCCGATGCATGGCACATTGGGGGGCCAAAAAAGGGAAAGTCCTATGGGTTTGACGACTATTGTGGTTAAGGAGCATTCCGAATGTTAACCCAATGATTGCTCATGTCTTGCAGCAAGACTCTTGACGCTGGTGACAGCGACACAGTGCCGCAGGTGCAGGCTGCAAGCCCAGAGACGGAGCTGGACAGCAGACTCGTCTACCTGTGTGTCCGAGGGACTCAAGTTTCCCAACCTCACCACATTCACTCATCAGTGGGCCGATAACATCCACCACTGGTTGGGACAACCACGCCAAACCCAAATTATTGCTAAACCCTTAATGTCCCAGATATGTTGAAGGAAAACTTTCAGACTGCCGTTTGAACTCTGCCGGGTTTTATGCTACGGTGACGGCACAATGGAGGCCATGGACAATGTGTCTCACTGGTAGGCGGGTGCACCTACAATGCCGTCAAACACCCAATGTTCTAGGTCCACGAAGGACATGAATGAGTTGTTGAGCAATTAACCAAACGACGACCTATATGTCCCTCAATGCTCCAACCTTATTAGTTGGGACGAGGCAGATAAAGGTCTGCCTTAGTTGTGTGCAATCAAAGAAAATGAGGAAGTGAATTGATGGAATAATGACCTCGGCGGAGCCTAGTGCATGTGAGGGGCGGAGCGGAGCGACCTAGGCGTAAGTTGGACGATCACCAAAGCGGCGTCTCCGGACCACTCTACTGACCAATTCTTGTAGAGTTGTAGGGTGTAATCCCAACCCCCAAGCAGTCATCTAGTATTGGGAATTCAATGGTAATTTAGGGAGTTGAAAAGGGAGAGGAGCATGAGGGTTTGGGGGTTGTCGATATTTCTGTATTAGGGGGGGGGATGTGATGGAGCATACAAGGCAGGCATTAATAATAGAGACGTCAGTGGGAAGGTCTGTAATGTAGGTCTAGTGTCTTGTAAAGGGATGTAAGTAACAGTCATCCAGCTTTTCAGGTGTAATACTTGTCTTTTTGGGTATTTTGTAGTTTGGGACGCAATATTTAAAGAAACATGGGAAGCTCAGTACGTATGTAATATGATTCAATTTTTTGTAACCTATCACACGTCATTATGTCTCTTTTGATCTCAAGAAGGGTCATATACGAAAGTGTATGCATAGTTATTGCTGTATATCGCCACTAATGGACCGTAAACTGTATACGCACAAATACAAAAAGAGGCATTCATCATTCCATAAACCAATATTCCTTCAAAACTCGACTACAACACAGGAACCCCATCGTTACATAATACAAAAACGAGGCGACATCAGAGTTCCATCTCGTGCGATGACAAATTCGAGTGCTATACTCTTCAACTGCTGGCGACCATGTCGAACATGAAATTCTATGACCCGCACAGTCATGTGTGCCCAGTTTCATGCCGGACACACGATTTTTGCAAACTTACGAATAGTGCGAAAATCGCTTTCCACTTTGTTCTCAAATTGGCCATTTTGCTCGATTCTTGAATCCATAATTGCAGGAGTGGGCAAGGGCAATTCAAGTTCCATTATTGTCCATAAAGGAGAGGAATGCGGGCATGATAACGATGAGCGAAAATTGTGCGGGTTTTTTATGAAACACCATCTAGCTTGGCCTCCACAATTTTTGAAACTATGTCGGCATGGAGATCGTTCCAAAAATAGTATTGCCGCGACACTGCTGCATGCCATGGACCAAGTAGCAGTGGTGAAAGTGGGGATACTTTCATTATGTTTAAATCTTCCCTACTCCGTAATGAAAGCGTTTTGTTGGTGTGAGTTAGTGGGTCCATGGTCTTCGATTTATTGTAGGCTGGTGTAGGCGAATTAATTGGAAATAAAGGGTCTAACATGCGCTGGGATGGGAATACGTGGGGAAGGTAATGGCTGCAGGTAAAGTGATGGAAGTTTCATTCAAACAGATAGGGTGATTAAATAGGCACAGCTTTAAATGACTGGAGTAATGAGAGAGTATTGCAGGGAGGCATAGGGAAGTTAGTAATTTGCGGGAGAGTATTAGGCGGGATAGATTGGGAGGGAGTAGTCCAGTCAAGTATGACTTTTGTAATATATTTCTAGTTGGATGTTCAGAACTGGTAATGTTCCCATTATGTATTCAAATAAGGGATTGGCCTATTTATAAGTGCCAAGCTCATTCAAATGACAATATGGGTATTGTTTATCTATGACGACAATCTCAAGTCCGTGGCCATGTTTCCAGTTTTCATAGTGCCTATTGTAATTATCATCCATTTTCATTATTTTTGCCAGTTTTTACGACTTCCCATGTAGCTATTTTGCAATTTCCCAAGAGTGTCCTTTTATACTTTCCAGTTTCCAAGTGTTACAAGGTCAGATTTCCCATTAGTAATAAAAAAAGTTGCATATTGCTAAATTGAGAAAGTAAGTAAAAAATGCAATATGTAAGTGTGTATTTCCCAGTTCCACAATTTCAATGAGGATTCCAAGGGCATATTGTCATCGTGTCAGCTTCTTTGACAAGTAGCCAAATGCAGTTTGGTCCCCCAATATCCAATTTTTTTTTTCAATTGCCTAGTATCTAAGTTTCCTTTTTGTATTCTTCCAATTCCAATGTGATGCTAATCTCGTCATTTGTGTCTATTACAATTTAGGAGACTTTCTAAGAGGTGCATTTCTTCTATTCCAATTATCCAGGTATCCAATAGTCCAATTCCAATTATCCAATTTCATTTTCCATTGGCGCAATTGACTATTTGAAAAGGTCCTTTTTACTAGTAAGTGCGAATTTTCGAAATTTTTTTGTTGAATGATGTGGTCAGTTTCGAGGTCCTGTTTCTTTTCGATTGCCAAGTTTTTGTCAAATTCAATTGTTCCAAGGTCTGATTGTCCCAAGACCCAAAATGTTTGGACAGGGTCCTTTTTGGCTTTCAATTTCAAAGGCCGATGCCATTTCCAAGCGTTTCGTTTCTAAATTTCCTTTTTTTCCATTGTCCCTTTCAAAGTCACGTCTCAGTGTTGGGTCATGTTCGTTTGCGATTTACGATTGCCAATTTCCAAAATTAGCCAAATGTTTACAATTTTCCTCTTGTTCTATTCAATTTTTCCAAGTTCGATTTCCATTTTCAAGTTCGCACTTTGTAATTTGCTTATTTTGCTAATGTATCAATTTCTTTCCTGAAATGTTGACAGATGTAATATCCTCGTCTGGGTTAAAATCCACACTTTCCATTCCCTTTTTTTTTTTTTTTTTTTTTTTTTTTTTTTTTTTTTTTTTTTTTTTTTTTTTTTTTTTTTTTTTTTTTTTTTTTTTTTTTTTTTTTTTTTTTTTTTTTTTTTTTTTTTTTTTTTTTTTTTTTTTTTTTTTTTTTTTTTTTTTTTTTTTTTTTTTTTTTTTTTTTTTTTTTTTTTTTTTTTTTTTTTTTTTTTTTTTTTTTTTTTTTTTTTTTTTTTTTTTTTTTTTTTTTTTTTTTTTTTTTTTTTTTTTTTTTTTTTTTTTTTTTTTTTTTTTTTTTTTTTTTTTTTTTTTTTTTTTTTTTTTTTTCCTTTTTTTTTTTTTTTTTTTTCCCCCCCCCCCCCCTTTTTTTTTTCTCCTCTTGTTCTTGATTCCCATCCAGATAATAAGTTTCATAAACGGGTCTATTTTTATAGCGTGTCTCTTTAAAGTGGAATTTATCCTTTGTTTTTTCCTTTCCATTCACTCGTATCTCTTTCGTTTCATCGATTTTGTACGGATCCTCCTTTTCTTCCGAAAAAAGGGAAGGGGAAGGATCTTCTTCGGTGGATCCCTCTTGTTCCTGTTTAGTCCCCTTCGTTTCGGAAGTTGTTTCTATTTCTACATCTGTTTCTTCCGTTTCTGAGGTTTCTTTCAGTTTCTTAGTAACAATGGGTGACGGTATTCTGCCTAAATAGTAGACACTGGTAATAAATAAGAGAATACTAAAGATTCGAGCCATAGAATTTCTCAATTCTGACACAAGGTACTTATTAGATCTAATAAGTACATTAGATCTAATAGAATTATTTTGCTGTATCCAGCCTAATACCAATCCAACCCATTTCATGAATAAAATGTGACCAATTAACCAACCAACAAAACTACTTGTTACAAATAACATCTTGTTGTTGCATCGAAACATATAAATGTTGACTAATCTGACTAACATTGAACTTGGTAAAATGAAATGGTTGAATAATTGAAAAATGAGATTATTCAGGAATAAACATTGAATGCTAAGATTACGCATTGAATTTCTGGTAGTAGATCCATAATCAAAAAAGTGTTTGTGATTGTTCCAGAAGAAATGAAACAAAAGATACGGTAGAGCTAGGACAGTTATTGTATGAGGTCTACCCAATGCTAGATGCAGAGGCACATAATAGATCGATATGAACATCATGAGCTGTCCCGTAATAAAACCGGTTGTTGCTGATACTTTCTTCTCGGTTCCTTCTTCTCCTTCTTCCATAACCCGAGCTCGGAGAAGGAAGAGATAAGAGGGCCCTATGGA